AAAAAAAAAAAAAAAAAAAAAACTCGTATAATAAAATATATAATACTATTTTTACTGTTTGCAGAAGCATAAAAATTGAAACCCCTGATTCTAAAAGATTCTATTGTAAAAATCTTACATAATCGTATGATGTAAATACTTTTATTTATTCTCCTATTATAAATAATCCCTGATGTTTTTTAATTATATAATAATACATTTTATACCATTTCTATTAAAGAATATATAATATTGTAAATAATAGGATACATCACAGTTTTTTTTAAGGGCATTTTAAAAATAATGTTACAAGATATACAGTGTTATTATATAATTTCATAATCAGAAAAGATTTAAGCATGAAATGATATTTTTTTTCTTTATGAATATGAGTGAAAAAGATATTAATAAATTATAAAATATTAGACTACATAGTTTGTAGATGAATGTATTTTTTTTCTTTTTTTTTTTATAGTAAAATAATTATTATTATTAATTGCTTAGTTTGATATGTCATGTTACATGTTACACTGTGATGTATTCATATTATCTATCAAATGATTGCATTCTAATATAAAATAAATTTGTCAAATTTATTGTGACAAATTGTATGTCGGCAAAAAGCCAAAGTGTTATAAAGAATTTTCACTTGAACGATTATGTATGACTTACTAGATAATAGTTAAAACTGTGAGAGATTTTTGAGTGTAATTTGCATCTTTTTGGAAAATCGGCACGATATATATTGATAAAATTGATGTCATTATTTGTAAAATATAACTTATATAAGTTTTTGGTAATAGTTTTCATATATTCCAAAAAAAACGCAGTTAATATACTGAAGACTAACAATTTTAACTGCAAGAATTCAGGCAATGAAAGCCTTGGAAATTTAACTAGATAATAGTTCTTTTGTAAATATTAGGTAAAAATGTTATTTATATGACCATTACGATTAAATAAAATGGTTCAATTTAGTTTGAAATTATTATTATATAAATTAGTCTATATATAGTTGTTTACAATATAGTGGTTGAATGCATTTAATTTTAATTAAACTTTGAATACATTTATTTTTACATGATTCATTTGAAATTTACTATAATTTTTTGAATATTTTTAATCCTACAAAATAATAACTAGTTTTTATTTATGATACATTACAGCGTTTCATTATTATGTGCCATATGTATTATTATTATCAGTAAAAAATTACAAAATTTTTGTAATTATTTGTTTATATATATTTAAACAAATCTATATGTTTATATACAAATTTTTGCTAGTCAAAAAGAATTTAATTATTAATATTCTTTTTTAAAGCAACTTTCTTTTATGGTGGATATAGAAAAGACTAACTGAAATGGAAGATGATTTACAAAACCATTTATTTAGATTTAAATAATAAATGATTATCATAACGGGATATAATGATGTATAACTAGTTACATATACGCAATGACATGGACTATAATACAATGATCAAGACTCTATTGTACATACTTTATTATATTGCCACCGTTGCTAAAAGCACTGTAATGTCATCTGGTTTACCACCTAAAAAATATAAGAGACATTGTATATATAGATACTAATCTTTGAATTAGTCTCGATTATTCTAAAATAAATAACAGAAATATCTTTGTTTAAAAAATTACTAAAATAAGATTAAATAAGATTTGTTTCAATTAAGATATAGTTACTTGTTTGTTTAGAAAAATTAGGAAGAAAAAAAAAGGGAAAGGAAAAACAACATATTTGTACAAATTTTTTATTCTAGATATAAGAATTAGAAATTAATTAAAAAAAGAATATAGAACAAAAATTAATTTACTATAAAATTATTACCAAAGTAAAAAAGATACATACATACATAAGCTATAAAAAATTGTGAAATGTATCATATGAATAAATTGATTATATTTTTTATTAAAATTTATGTACACTATAAATATGTACTTGATATTAATTCTGAAATAATTCTATATAATAGTTAAAGAATAATATAATTACATACCTATAGTATCAATTCCATTCTCTCTAGCACTTTGGGCAAATGGAGACATAAATGCGCCATCAAAAGCTAAACTACGAGCCATCCAAGCTATCGAATTGGCAACTCCTTGTATCTTAGTAGGATCTCTTTCTCCTTGAACTTTACGCATTTCAGTGATAAGTAATTGATCAGGCACATTATCAAATACCCCATCTGTTGCTAAAAGAATTACATCACCATCTTCAACTCCAAAACTTGAAGTATCTGCAGATTCTGGACTAGATATAAAACACAAATATAAAGGTACATTAAGAAAATGCTGTATTAAATATAAATTTGCAATATTTTTATATAGTATGATACCTGTCACTAAGCACCAGACCAGAATGTCCTGGAGGTGGAAGAGACAATTGAAATGGAGTATTAAAGTAGTGTTGTTGTTCGGAAGAACGATGAACTACTTCTCCTTTTCTTACAACTACAAAACCACTATCACCTATATTAGCTGCATAAATGCTACTTGTCTCTTTATTGAGAACTATGACACATGCAGTACTGCTACCTGGAATATTATCATATAACTGCATTAATGAATTTTTATTTTACTTTTTTTTTAAGTATAAAGTTTAATGTAAAATGTTAGAAAAGATTATAAAACACAAGTTACATTAATACCTAATATGGGTTGTTTATTTTCTAATAATTCATAGTAACTACGTGCTAATAAACCAGCTGGTTCAGAAGGTGTGAACCTGCCCATAGAGACCAGTCTTTCACAAGTTCTCATTAAGAAACTAGAAAATTCTCCTGGATCGATTCCATAATGCCTCCATCCACCTACACCATCTGCTACACCTAAAAGATCCAAAGAATTGTCAAATTCTTAGAATTATCAAACATTAGACTTATTTGAATATATTTATATATATTATTATTAATCAATAATATAAAAAGATTTCTAATAGAAAATTATCATTGATAAGTGAAATAAAAATGTATAATACAAAATTTATACGAATCTCATAAAATCAGTTATATGTAAATATAAGATAATGATGAACTTGATTATTTCTTGATAGTTTCAACAAATTAATATTACCTATTACTTCAACAGTTTTGAATTTGGCACTAAACCATGCATCATCACCGAACTGTCCCTTACGTATTCGTCCTCGTGCAAAATCTTTTGGAAAACCACACACAGCCGAAATGAAAGATGCTTCGCGACGTTTATTCACATTGGGATCGGCGCATGCTGTATAATTTGATATGCCATTCCATATCGCCCGAGACAGCAATCTCCCGGTCCAATAAATGGACTGCATCGTACGATGAGGCTCAAACTTTTGTGACGCACATCTTTAATAACTAAACGACGAATCTGCATGAATCGTGCAGTCAATTCACAAGCGTATCGGTGGCATGTTTTGTTGTTTTCGTTGGAAGTGCATATAACATCGATCAAATTTATCAACTATTCTCTTTATTGCACTGAGTATCGACCACACTGTTCTCGAATTCCAATCTATGCTTAAAGAAACAAAGATCGGTAACCACGATTCCAACTGAAACTATCCTCTGCTACCATGTAATCCGAGAAAGTATCTACTAGTGCTACTAACTAATCAAGTTGAACACCGTTAATATTGCACCTACATAACTATATACATATCTTGCATTTGACTGACTTCAGATTTATTGGTGGAGAGGACTTTCATAATTAAAGAATTTATTTTTGTCATTAAAGATTGTTAATGAATAAAAGTATAATAAAGACTATCAATAATTTTTAAAAATTTCATACAAAATAATAAAACTCTAATAAATAATATATTTATAAATAAGATAAGAATATAATTTTCATTTCTATTCTGTTGGTATCATGTTTAAGAATTGAATTAAAAATATATTATTATTATTATTTTTATTAATGAAAATAATCTTGTTAACATTACATAAATTAATATAAAATTTAAAACTTATATCATAATCGATATATAGAAAAATCGAATTATAGAAAAGACCTTGAAGTTGGTTACATAAATCGAAGAACATAATCTGCGATTCTCGAATGGATATCGAAGATTTGAAAGTTTTATATATGGAGTCAGCATATTCGCGAATGATGCTTAATAAAAGTGAAATTTCTAGAAAATTTTTTTTGAATTAAAATTTTGATTGTAAAAATCTGCAGTTTCATAGTTTGTAAGAAAATTGTAAATAAGAATAATGGAACAATAATCCATGAGTATCTATTTATTTTTTACTTTTTATATAAATTATATATTTTTGAAAGAATTTGGATTTTTTAATTCTAAAAGAAAGAAAATAAGAATGAAGATATATATTGTTTCATACATCTTGTACTTTTTTATATATATAAATATTTTTACTAAATAAAATAATAAAATTTGAGATACAAGAAAGATTTGTCAATTTATAAAAAAAATAAAATTCAATTTAGAATAGATATAGAATTTAGATATAAATATATTTTATATATATATATATATATTTGATATTAGATATATTAAATTCTGAATATAGTATGTATTCTTTTTAAATAATTTTCATATTTTTTCAGATAATACATAAATAAGAAACCAACATTTCAAATAATTGAAATAAAAATTGTTCAAAATTTTAGGAAGAGGATATATTGAATAATAGCAACATGTTTCTTCGAGTAAATCGCTTTACTAATGTTTATTAATAAACATTTCATATAGATTATTTTAATTCATATAATTTAATACCTGTTTGACGTTGTTTTTGTTGTTGTTGATGTTGCGATCAATAGTTTATCGTTATTTACACTATTCAGTATAAAATGCGAGTTCAAGATTAAATCACACCACTATGTTTTATGGACACTATCTGTCATCGATTAATAATTATCAATGCTTGTACTCAGGAAAATGCGAAGGGGGCAGTAGGGCAGTATTTTCGTTATCACTAGTGTTGTTGGTATTTAATTCTTTAGGGGAACCATTATTTATGTTACAATCTAGACTAAAATTATCGTCTAGTGGGCATTTGTTAATATTAGGCAAGTGATTAACATCGATTCCACGAACGTCGGGGAGCTTTTGTTGTTGGTGGGATTGAGCATTTTCAGTCTCGTCGTTTTCGAGACCGTTATCAGTGTAGGGTGGGGATGGATAGTAGCCGCGCTGCTGTATTGGCAGTTGTTCCACCGGCAGTTGGTGTTGTTGTTGTTGTTGTTGTTGTTGTTGCTGCTGTTGTTGCTGCTGCTGCTGTTGTTGTTGTTGTTGTTGACGTTGATGTTGTTGTTGTGACGACGGCTGCGGCTGC